GGCTTTTCTCATCCGAAAGTTCTGCAGCCACTGCTCGTCATCCCAGACTTCCATGACGATGTGATCCCACCACTCGGTGCTTGTTTCCCGAGCCCAAAAGCGGCGTTCCACAGTGCTGAGCATGTCCATGAATGTCACAAGCAATTTCGTGTCGTACGCGTTACGCAACTCTATATCATCATCGGCCTCCTCACTGTCACTTTGGATCTTAAGGAATAGTTCGACAGCCAAACGTGACGTGCTGGCGAGACTCGTCAGCATACGCCTCAGCAGTTCGGGCTCCATTTCCCGCAGACAGATCGCGCTGCACAGAAATCATTGAAAGATGGCGCCAAATGTGGACGGAAACACAGGGATTGCTGGGATGCGAAGTGATGCATCACGGGGAGTTGGGACAGGACCCAGAATCCCCCGCACCCACGCCCCCTTCCCACAACCCACAGCACCAGAATGGGAAGAGGTGCTCTGTGGGATAGCTGCCCATAATACACTGCTCCCAATGGCACTGCAAGTGCCGCAAATGTGGCCACGACAGTGCGCTGGGCAGCTCTCAGTGTGGACAGACTGCAGCGCTTTCCCTACTCATCTGTACGAAGTCAGGTTTAACTCACAGCGCTGTACAGCTGCAAGTGTAGCCATACCCTAAACCTTCCCAATCGCAGAAGCTATTCCCAAGAAGGGAGGTAAATAAGGATTGTGTGTGTGAATGGGAATCAATACAGACAGGACAATGAATGTATTTCTGCCCCTTTGAAAGCTGGAGGGGTGGGGATGAGCTAGCATGTCCATTAAGTTTTGACACCGTGTCTCACTGGAGGGTACAGAGATGCAAGTCTCTCTCACACAGCAGCTGTGCAGGACGCAAAACATTCCCCTCTGGTCACTGACGAGGGAAGAACTTGACCAGATTAATACATATGGACTCCACGGCTTCTAATAACCCAGGGCATGGGAATCCCTTACCCAGTGAGGTCACCGTCTCGTAGTTCTCCTGCATGACGTCCCTGTAGAGGGCTTTCTGAGCGGGGTCCAGCAGAGCCCCCTGCCCCTGGGTAAAATACACAGCCACCTCCTCGAAGGTCACCGGCATCTGAAACAACAAGAATACCCCCACTTAGCACCTATTTCCCCAGCCACAATCTCTCTAGTCACAGGAAAGGGGGAAAAACTCAAAGCTCTGGGAGGCCAGAGTAGCAGAATCCCACCCCCACCCATCAGAGCAGCCAGGAGGCTTCAGGGGATGGGGAAGATGAGAGCTCCTTGTCCCCCCCTGCACACGGAGCAGGGCAGGGTCTCCTCATTTCCCACACACCTGCCAGCCACAGGCTGATACAGGAACCACAGCTGTGAGCCAACAGCTCAGAATCCCAACAGCTTCCCTTCGTATTTCACAGCAGCCTCTGCCCAGTGGGTTCAGAGTCCAGCACTGTGGAGGGGCTTATGTCCTGTTTTCGAAATGGGCAAATGTCCCTCTCCCCTTTGCTGCCAATGGTACTACTCAGAAAATCAGCAGGTTTATCACACCCTGTCTCCTCCCTGCTTCTCCCTCCCCCCGCCCAGCAGGTCCCTGAAAATCCCCTACCTGAGCTGGCTCCATCACAGCCATTTCACTTCCCTGTCTCCTGGAAGATGGGCCAATCTGGAGTGAAATGTGGACATGACTCCTCAGCCTGTCGGGGCGAGAGGGGCGATGGGGGAGGTTACAGACGGGGCTGGAGTCCATGTCCCACCCCAATTCTCCCCAGGCTCTTTAGACCCTTCCAGTAATAGCATCTCTGAGCCAAATGCTAGAAAAAGAGCAGAATTAAAGGGACCACTTTGGGGGATTGCCCCCCATTGCCGTGTAAACCCCTCCCCCTTAGCAACAGCCGGAGCCCTCTGGTGGCATCACCTGAAGAATGAGCTGCCCTGGACACCCCCAGCAGTCCCAGGGACAGGCAGGCAGAGGCTGATCCCATTGGCCCATCCGCACGTCCCCCTTGCCAGAGCCAGCAGTGACTCCGGTCTGACACCAGTGTGGCTGAGATCTGAATCCTGCACGAAAATCCGACCAAGACCTAGGGCAGCCCTGAACACTCAAGGATCAGACCGCCAAAGGCCATGAGTTTGTCTCTTTTTAAAAAAATCCAATGTAAGCTGAGAGCAGTGTGTGTGTGTGTGTGTGAACGGAGGGGGTTGCATGTGGATATTTGCCTTGTAACTAGGCACTGCCAGGGAAATGTAACTCGGACAGACAGCATTGTCTGTTACCCGTCGTACATGGGGATTGTCATATCGGTGAGTCTGTGACTGCCATGCTCACAAAGGTGTGAGGCACAGTCCGGCACGTGTAACAAAAATCTATTAAGCTCACTTCACACATTGTCGTGTTGTGTCTCAGCGCAGGTGCAGAGCACAGGGCTGATCTTGCTCCAAAGCATCCAGAAGTAGGGTGGGGCAGTTACCAGACATGCTCTGTATTTGTTTCCAAAGCTGCATCGGATGTTTTCATTGGGCACATGTCACATGGTATGGCCACTCCCTCTTTACTCACCTGAGAGCTGAGGCAATCAGAGCTTGGAGGGGAGATAGGTGTTTAGGACAGTCACCGTCTCCATGCTCTGGAACGGCTCTGAATGAAGCCAGGCAGGACTCTGGTGCAGTGTGTCCCCCTCAGGGCACACTCTCACCAGGGCAAGGGATCAAAGGAGTCTTTATAGTTCACTCCTATGGGACAAAAGTGCCGCCACTTGGTCTGTATTCCTTATAAGGGGGATCACAGAGCAGTCAGGCCAACACCCTCTGTGCGCACAGCAGGATCTACCATGACACTATCAGGCCTTTTCCCTCCTGCTCATGAGGGACGTCCTGTCCTTTGCAGGAGAGAGAAGAGGAGCGAGATCACCTTACATTTCCACCTCAACCCATCTACTGAAATTCTGTCAGACCAAAGCTGATACTGGGAAATATCCTAATGGCGTTTCTATACAAGGCAACACTCAGGGAAGATGAGATGAGTTCCCCACTGTTTCGCTCCTTCTCTTCGGACTTGAAACATTGCATGTGCGTTACACCTGGACGATACAAAACTTAAAAATGTTCAAGAAGTAACCAAAGACCTGATGATTTGTAGTGTTTGGGGGAAAGTCTCCTGCACTTATCTGGCTGTCCTGACTGCCAATGTCAAAATTAAGGCCACCTTACTTCTGAATGAGAGCGTCCACACAGGGGTTTAAAGCTCTGGAATTCATATGGATTAACTTCACACCTTTAACTTCACACCATGCAGACAAGCCCTGAAGAAGTAAAGGGGAGGGAATAAGAGAAATTGGTGAGAAGGGCTGGGGGAGACTCTGCTAATTCTTTTAATTTTAAAAGTTTTAATTTGTTTTCCATGACACCCATAGAAATGGGCACAGACATTCATATGCAGCGCCTGGCACAGGAGCAGAAGCAATAGACACAGAATCAGTATCAGAGTTTTCAGCCCTTGAACAATAATGGGTCATTTAACATCGGAGTCGGCAGCTTAGTCTGTGTCTATAAGAAAACGGGTGTTTTTCACATGGGGTAACTAACCTCACCTGCATTAGCTAGACCACCGCAAAAACAGAGAAGAGGCAAAGTACATTAGTTTCACCAAAAGGTAAACAAGGTGAGGTCAGCACAGTGTCCCCCGACCTGACCAATGCAAAGGAGATACAGAGCAATTTGTTTTAAAAATTCTTTGATTGCGGCCGTACAAATCAGTACATCTGTCATAACAAAGGACATCCCTGAAATGGATCACAACAAAAAATGGAAAACAAAGGGAATTAGAAGCATAAACAACGTGGTAGAAAAATCCACATCAATGCATAAAGTAAATGAAGTTATAGAAAAGTAAAGTGGGCCATTCAGAGTGTGCAGGATGGGGGGGTTACTTACAGAAATAAGGTTTTCAAATCAATTTTCAATTGCAAGAGGTGGTGGGAAATCCCATGTTCCCAGAAGTGCAAAATGGCATGGAATGTTACAGGATTGTACAACCATCCTAGATATATGGATCGTTTGGAAGGGGTAGCAGTAAAACTATAAAGCCAGTACACCCCAAAGGCTCAGACACAAAAAGGTAATAAAAGAAAAACAAAATGTATCTATTTATTTGTTTAAATTCTAGACTTTTGGGTGCATAACTCATGGGATTTGAATTATTTGGGTTGTCAATCTGTCTTGCGGTTATATTTCTATCCCTAGTTAAAAAAAAACCAGAAATTTATTTTTGAAAAGCATTTTATATGAGACACTCTAAGGTCTTTAGGAACTGAGTTTTAAAATTATTGAGGCCACTAGTCACATATTTAAAAATATCTAGGTGCCTTCAACCTTGAACCTTCTGTCTGTTAGTGAATATTTGGGAACTATGTTCTAACGCAAATGGCACATGAGAAAAAACATCAGGGTGCTGGATAGAGAGACAAAGTAACAGTTGGCTAAAGCAAAGGAAATTGAAGTTTTCAGACCAGCCCATGAAATCAGTCAGCACTGCACTCAAATTACATTACAATAGAAACAGGAACTGTTACAGTGTCACTGGGAGATGTGATTGCTGAAGCTACTCGCAACTATTAATATTCCCCATGATGATTTGCCATTAAAAATATGAATTCTATGGCCCAATGACGTCCCTCCGCACAAAGCTAATGAAGTTTAGGCTGAAGAGCTCAGAGTAATGAAAATAATGTTTTCATAAGGAACTAATGTACAGGAGTGAAACTGCCCAGACTGGATTCCAAGAGGAGTGAAACTCAGGGGAACAGGGACATTGGCTAGGACACACGGATGAAGCGCTGGGCGGCTTTACGCAGACACAGGAACTGAGACCCGGATTCTTTAAACACTCGAAGCAGGTGTGACAGTGAGAGCTTTGAGGGGGGGGGGGGCCGTGTAAATATTTCACTGGATCAAGTCTCCTTTAGCAGCTCAGTAACATCTTGGGGGAGGGGGGGGAGGAGGCGGGCCGTGTCCGGGCTCGTGCGATGCACT